AATATTTTTCTTGGGATTATATGTTAAATTAGACATTTCTCTGATCATAGCTGTATCCAATACACGACCATGGGAAAAACAAATAGAGAGTCTAATACATGTTGTTATCCCAGTTTCATCAGGTTTTAATTTATTGTTCTGTGATCGGATTTGRCACAATGAATGAACAATARTTGAATGTGGTACAGGTGAAACACAAGGATTAGAGTATGGCAATAAAATTTGAGAATTCTGTAATGATTCTGTCATCACAGGACTATTTCGACCATCAGTTACCAAACCAGCACTGCGATGAAACCTAAAATTTAATATTGAGATGGAACAAAATATTTATTTTCAACAAAAATTAAATTTAACAAGACATTGAAAAATTTTCTTCGGTATTGATTTACCTTGATAGTTTATTTACAATATGTGGCGTCGAATGGGTACGTAGACCGATAGGTCCACCATAAGGTGTAATTGGGAATATATGAGTTGTTCCCCTAAGTGAACTTACAGCCACCCATCTTGAATCACTTGAGAATTGAATATCTTGAATTTTAGCTGTTGTATCACCTCTATATAGTTGTATAAAAATGATGTAARTAAAGTAAATGTAAAGTGAATAAATAAGTATGTACCTATGTAATGTATACAAATGATGAACAGCTGTAAATGAAGAACCTAATATACTAGGATGTACTTTGAACACATTAAACCTATGACCGTTTTTATCAGCAGTTACTAACATAAGACCAGACTGGTCAAAATTCAAAGCCACAATAGCCTCACAGTGTGCTGAAAAATGAGCAATAATATCAGGGCCTTGTGGTGTATTCTCCTTTAACACTTTATTCTAAAAAAATTAAACATCAGTTAAATTTAATAGGATTGGTTTTTTAATTATTAATAATTAGATTTATCAATTCATACTTTGATATCAATTATAGTAATTATGCCTGGATTCATTTGATTGGAATCATTTGCAACTGATATGTTATGAGTCGAATTTGAATTGTGCACGCCTGTAATACTATTTGCTACAGAGCCACTTAAATCTCTCAAACTTTGGCTCAATGATTTTGCTGCATGCAAAACCGTAGCTGTATAAGAATGACCATTCTCGCCCTCATATCCACCCGTAGATCGATTCCAGGAAATCAACTTTTGATCTGCATATGCCAACCACCTATTATTGGTTGTTTCAAATTTATTTGTAAAAATTACACCTCATACATAATAATAAAAATAAAAATAACCTTGTTCCTAATGCAATTGGGTTTAACTTAATTCCAGGACTAGGATAACATGTAGTAATTGTAGTTATGTCTTCCACAGTGAGGGCATCAAATACAGCAATACGTTCTACAAATACTACTGCTATAACAAACCTATTTACAGCAATGTCGACTACAGTATTTTTAAATTTGATTGATTTTACCTAAAAGAAAAATCATCATAGTTAAACTAATGATAAAGAGAATATAAATAATTAATATATATTTATTAATTTAAATTTAAATACCACATCTCCACATGTTAATGATATAAAACTGACAGAACAAAACTGTGGTCCAGGACCAGAATTATCACACAACGCAATTAATGGCCTTTTATGAGCAAATGGGTCTTGTCGAAATTTCCATTCCGGTAAAGGTGAAGGTATGAATTTTAAAATCTTGACGACTCCTTGCGACCAAGATAAAACTTCATATGCTTCACCATTGGCACCAATATACCATACCTAAAATAATTGTAATTGATCATTAAATCATATTTTATAACTTAATTAATTAAGTAGCAAGTTTACATATATAAGGTATATAAATACCTATTAGATAAATATTTTTAATTTATACTAATACATGTATTTAGGTATTTTTGATTTGTCCTTTTCTAGCTTAATATTTTCGTGGTATTTGAGAACAGCTCTCATTATTTATATTTTAAGTGTGATTTATAAATAGTATATTTTATTATATAGGGTGTTTCATAAAGAACGTAGTTTTTAGTTTTGCTATRATTCAATTTTATTTTATCAGAAATACATTATTAATGATACGTCATATTGTTTCACTATTAGTTAAGGTTTAAGTGTGAAATGTGATATTGTACATATCGACCCTCTGTAGAGTCGTTAACAACAGCGAAACAGAGAAAAATAAAACTTTGGGCTCGTTTGCTCCCAAGAGTCTTAAACRTTCAAAATTGGTCCTGGCTCTTTGAATGTACTGACCAATCTTACTATTGCTGATGCGGTCAT